TGTGTGTGTGTGTGTGTGTGTGTGTGTGTGTGTGTGTGTGTGTGTACATGAACATGTGTGCATATATATGAAGAGAAGTGTTGTAAGGAATTGTCTCAGATGGCAATTGTGGAGATTGGTAAGTCCCATGTTCTATCATCTGCTAGGAGGAGACCCAGGAAAGCCTGTGGTATAATTCAGTCTGAATTCAAAGGCTTGAGAACCAGGGGATCCCTGTCCAAGGGCAGAAGAAGGTCAAGGTCCCTGCTCAATCACACAGGCAGAAAGGAAGCAAAAATGACAAATTTCTTTCTTCTGAGCCTTTTTATTCTATTCAAAATCTCAAGTCAAGTGGCCTGGGTGAGATCAGCACTTGGATCCATCCATAGGGGGAGGACAACTACTTTCTAGAATCTGGAGATCCAAGTGCTGATCTCCTCGCAGAAACAGAACATGTGAAAGAGAATGTTTTATCTGGACACCCTCAGGAAAAAAGTTGGCGCATAAAATTAAGTATCATGGAAATATTTCTTGACTAGAATAAATTGGTAATACAGTATTGTATTTATTTTCATGTGCCTTAAAAAAAAGTTTGATATTTGAAATCATCTTAATACTGTTAAACATACTTCATGCTTATTTCTTGATTATTCTTTTATTCTTAGTATTACAAAGCTATATTTCGACTTAGGCCAATGAGATCTTAGTGACTTAGATTGTAGTGTATTATCACCTCTCCATTGTAGAGTAAACAATATTTGTAATCTGTAAGAACTAGAGAAAAATCATAAAATTTGCCAGTCCCAAGAGCTGGACAACTTTGTACTTATGGAGTGTAAATTTTTTCTGCAGCGGGTGCTATGGTGTGGTTATGTCTTAGAGCCAGATGGCTATTTTGATCAGTGCATATGCACCCAAACATTTATACATTTTCGTTTGTTTAAAATGTAAAACATGGTTTGCTTAATCATGTCATTCTGCTAGATTGTACTTTGCCAAAAGAATGTTGTTTTATTTTCTGGTTTTATCTTTAACTTGTTCTCATTTGTGTCTACTATATGAAGATGAGAAAATGATTAAAACCGAGGGAAACCCATTTAAAATGATAAATACCACCTCTGTGTCATGTTTGGAAATCAATCATTTAAGTAAAAAATACTCGCATACTGATTTGTTCAAGATTACGCAGGAAAAAAATACCTTCTTTAAAATATTTTACAGAAAGTCTTAAAATTGAAAATTATTTCAATTACAAATTGATTAAATTCTTACAAATCAAGATTATTTTAGAAAAAAAAAACATGCAACTTTCCTTGTAAGAAGATACTTCATGGTCCTGCATATCGTTCATTTTCAGTGGGTTTGAAATGAAAGTAGCTGATTTTTCCCATGATAGCACAAACAACGAGATTTAAATAAGATGGAATAAGCAGAGGAGGAGGGAAGGTACTAACAATACCAGGTATCCTGAGCGATACCCTTTAAGTGACTGCTTAACTGGCATAGGGTGGTTCTCATTTTCCCAACTCTCCTAGTATGTCCTTGGACATGTTGTCTCCCCTTGATAAAGAAACTAGACTGTAGAGGACCAAGTCACTTGCCCAGGACCCCAGCTGGTGTAGG